TTAACCCAGTTTGCCTCAGTCTCCTCATGTGTAAAATGGGCTGGAGAAGGAAATGTGAAACCACTCCAGCATCTTTGCCAAGAAGACCCTAAATAGGGTCATGAAGAGTCAGATACAAATGAAATGACTCAACAACAACAAATAGGACATCTCCACCGGCTTTTAGCTTAAATTTACTGTGTTCTAAACTGAACTCACTTTCTTCCCCTACTGAATGAAATCCCTTTTTCACCAGCCCACTTTCATCTGGAGCAACACTTTTCTTCTAATGTTTCTCAGGCTAAACAGCAGGGAATCATCTCTGATTCTTCACTAGCCTTTATCTCCATAAGTGAGGCATCAGTGGGACTTTTTTAGGGATTCAGGGAGTAAACAGGATTCTAGTTACAGAAGAGTCATGGTCAAGGAATAAGGGGTTTGGGCAAAGTTCACGACAAGATAAAGTCTGAAAGCGTGGCTAAGCAGAAGACCTTGAAAGATCTGAAAACATGACAGCTTCTAGGACCAGGGTGGAAGCAAATGGTATGATATAGTGGGAAAAGCACCAGCTTTGGTTGGTATCTGAGGGATCTTGCTATGAAGCTTGGCCTTGTTAGTCTTGGTTGTCTGTACAACCTTGAACAAGTCTCTTAATTTCTCCAAGTCTGATTCCTTCTTTGTAAAATGAGAGAGCTGAACTAGGTGACCCCTGAAGACCCTTCCATGATCCTATGAACTGCCAGGGCCCAGTGGCTGCCGTCTTAGCTTGGGCAGCTAAGCTTTTCACCAATCACCTCTGCCCTTCAAGTGAGCTGTCCTAGACTAGGGATTCTTAATCTCAAGTCCATGATCTTGGTTTCAGTTTTGGTTTTGTAATATTTTGTAATAATAATAAAATGAATATTTAATATTTTGATATAATTTGCTTCTTCTGTAATTCTATGTATTTTATTTTATTCATTTTAAAACAGGATTCTGAGGAGTTCATAAGCTTTATGAAGTGGACCAAAGGGATCAGTAAACAAAAAAGGTAAAGAAGCCTGGGTCCTTCAAGGGACCAAATCTATCAGGTACATTCTGACCCTTAAAAAAAGCTGAATTCTTCCCTACCTAGAAAATTGCTATGTCCCTGTCTTAATGGCAGTGCTCCTCCAAGCTGACTTAGGGCTCAGCTAAAGGATTCTGGTCCTTCATAATCTGGGCATGGGCTGATTCCTCAGGGATGGGACCTCAGGATGTTTTCTTCAGGCCAGCCCCCACCCTGAGGCAGAGATTCTTTTTTTCTTTTCTTTTTTCTTTTAGGCAGTTGGAGTTAAATGACTTACCCAGGGTCACACAGCTAGTAAGGGTCAAGTATTTGGTCTGAGGCCAGATTTGAACTCAGGTCCTCCTGACTTCAGGGCCAGTGCACTATCTACTGTGCCACCTACCTGTCCTTGCAGAGATTCTTTATAGGAGAGTCTGCAATGGGGGCCCTGGAGCTCATTCTGTCACCATGATCAACGAGATCATGGATAGTTAATTGTTTTTATAAACTTGAAGGTATTATGTTAATGTCATTTATTACAATTATTAAATCCTTTTGTTTCCTTTGAAATATCTCTGGTTTTTGCCTTCTATTCCTGTTGTCACCAGCCTAGTCCTAATCTTGATTGCTTCCCACTTGTAGCACCACAATAGTCAAATTAGCTAGTTTCTCTGGCTTCATTTTCTACCCCCTATCCCACCTCCAGGTTACCTTGAACATTTCTTTCAAATTAATCTTATTAAAATGTTTTTTTTAAACTACATAATGCACTTGCTCAAAAAAAATGAATTATAGGAAATAGTAAATCCTGCTTCCTACTGCATTTTCTGCTTGGTCACTTATACCTTCCTGACCCCAAACTATTATATCTATGCTTACTTCTTCTTAGATCCTAATCAGGCTAGCCTCCTCATTGTTCCAGTATAAACTATGCTCATCTATGCATTTGGGAGCCTTTGCTTATGAATTCTTTCTAAACCCAAAAGAAATCCATCCTTCTCTTTCTTTTGCCACCTTTCCAAAGCCTACATATCTTTCAAAGCCCAGGTCAAGCCATTCATTTCCAAAAAAGCCTTCCCCAACTAAATCAGCCCATATTGACAGTCAAATAAGCAAACTTTTATTAAGCTCTATGCTAAAATCTGATAGGCTTTGTGATGCAGTGGGGAAAATGCTTCATTTGGAGACACAAGAGCTGGGTTTAGGTCCTGGCTCAGTCACTTACTATCTGTGTGACCTTGGACAAGTCTCTTAACTTCTCTACATCTCAATGTCTTCAATTGTAAAGTGAATGAGATTGAAATACATGACTTCCAAGATCTCTTTCAGGTTCCAATGTGTAACACTCTGACTAGATGACTTCTAAGGACCCTTTTAGCTGTAGGTCAATTATCTCTACCTTCTCTGTACCTGTTATTTCTGAATCAATTGAATTCCTAAGCTCTCTATATATCTGTGTGTGTGTGTGTGTGTGTGTGTGTGTGTGTGTGTGTGTGTGTATGTCTTATGGCCCCCAACTAGGCTATAAGTCTTTCAAAGAGAAGAATCATGTCTTATAGATTTTCTGGAGGCACCATAGTGCCTACAACAAATTACCATGTGCCAGGAACAGTGCTAAGTGGGGATACAAAGAAAAAGACATAAAGAAAAAGTTTAATCCTCAAGGAATTCACATTCTAATGGAGGGGAAAGCATCTAAATAAGTATATATAAGATATATATAGAGTAGATAATTCAGATGGCATGATGGAATTTCCTGCAGAAGATGGATTTCGAGCTGAATCTTGAAAGAAGCTAGAGAAATGATTTGCTATGCCATAGAGAGGCAAGGTGGCAGAGTAGAAAAAATCCAGGATGGGAGAAGGGAGACTTGGACATGAAACCTGGACATCATTTCCTAGTTGAATCTCTAGACCTCAATTTCTCATTTGTAGAATGAGGATAGTAACATCTCTGCTACCCACCTCACGAATGTGTTATGAAGAAAGAACTCAAATAAACTTGAAGTACTTACATGTTTTGTTATTAAGATAGGGTTTCATTAGTGATTTCATCAGGTACTGAATGTGTAGTGTGGAAATTTCTTTTATCCATGAAAATCCATGACTATCTGTGATGTATAGTTCTTAAGAGTTGCCAGCAATGCTTAGAAGCCAGGCAACTTTCCTGTAGTCACATAGCTTATACCTGTATCACAGATAAGACTTGAACCCAAGTCACCTTGACTCCAAGGCCAGACCTTTATCAATGATGGTGTGCTGCCCTTCAATTATGGCAAGTACCCAATAAATATTGGATGATTGATTAATTTGTTTCTTATGTTGTATCCTCTATTATAGTAGTAGTGTCTGGTATACATGGTAAGTGCTCGATAATTATTTTCTGAATGAATCAACATGCCCAATATATCCTGATTCTTGTAGAATTAAGTAATTCCAACCTAGTCACCAATAGGCAACAAAAGAATCAAAAACTTCCAAATCTGCTGTGTGCATTAAGACTATAATTTATAGATGCCTCTTCACCCCCTGGGTTACACAGCCCAAGCCATTTCCCTGTTGGAGGAGGAAGAGACAACAGCAATGCCTTAGCTCTCTTTTTCTGGGACAAACAGAGTAATCAGAAAAGCAGGAGGTAAGTTTCCTCCACATTCACAGTCCCTGCATTCACATTCTTGGCACTGAAGAGCTGCCAGGGAGTGGCTACCTCTTCTACCCTGGCTTCTATAAGAAATAGAAAATAGGATCAGGAGCTTTACCTTGTTCTATTTTAATTTCTTGAAATAATACTAACACACTTATATTGTGTTTTATGAGAGGAAGTTTGGCACTCTATACTAGCTGAGTGACAATGGGAAAGTCACTTAACCTCTAAGTGCCCTCAGGCAACTCTCTAAGACTGATAAAGATTCTAATTCTTTGGTCTTATTATCTGATCTACATTGGTAGAGGGAGTTTCCATACCAAAGAATTCCTCACACTGATAAATAAAGACTGATGGAAAGGGTGAAAGGAGAGACAGAAAGTCAAATTTTAAGATTTACAGAGCATTTTCCTCACAGCAGCCCTGTGAGGGAGGTAGTACAAATACTCTTCTATTTGCCAGCTGTCTTTTTATTTACATCCTCTCAAAAAGCTCATTCAAGGGTTCAAGTGCACTCAACAATAGATTGGAACCCCAAGTCAGCTCCCTCCCTTTCCTTCCATTAAGATCAAATGACAGGTATAGGAATAGACCTCTTCCTCTGTTTCTAGCGGGGCTTTGGAATTGAGAGAAGATACCATTAATACTGCCACAGTCAAGGAAATTGTTCGATTGCCCCTGTTTCTGATCCACTGCCTCGTTCCCCATTCCATAAATCCGAGACACCTGACCTTGTCTTTTCCCGCTCCCCCTGACTTCAGCTTCTTACCACTGTAGTACAACTTTTGCACGAACAGGCACCATCTCCATCATACCTACAATTCTCCCTTACTGCTCCGATTACTGACCTCAGCTTCCTGGTTAGTTACGTCCCCACAAAAGACATTAGGTGGCTATTACAGGGAACTGCTGATTACTCTCACTGTCTGACAGCCTGTTAAAAGAATCTCACAGCTCATTCTGAAACTCAGGGCCAACTCCAATGACATTAACAAGCTGGAGGAAGCAGGTGGTGTTGGAGTTAAAGGATCCTTGTGACAGGGTCACAGTCGTACCTTCTACCTCACCTGACACTGGTAATCTCTACACATAATAGAAAGAACATGGGAAACAAATCATCTATTTTCATACACCGGAGTCAAAGTATTTCTAACGGTGTGGATAGATCTTCTATTTGAGATGTAAAACTTTTTTAATCTCCCTCTCTCCCTCCCTTCCCATTCCCCATTTGAGTTAATGGCCCACGGACCCAATCACAGAAAGAGGGCTTCAGATCAACAGTGGTGAAGCTTAAATCCATACGTGTTTAGGTCCCAGCATGTGGTAATATGCTCCGCTCTGATGACACTTTTCGTTTCTAATAATAGAGAAGATGAAGTAATATTTGCAATTGATGTTCCTGAGCATTTGATTGGATAAGTGCATAAACTGTAGGGGGGGGTTGGATTGATGGATCGCATTAGTATTCCTGTCCTATCAATGGGCTGGGTTGCTAACAACGTCAGTCTGCCAGATTCCCTGCGTCTACCAGTCCCACCACGGGTCCATTTGGGATCCTCAAACAGAACAGCCCTTAGAGACTGGATGCAGGCAAGCCATTAGAGCCCGTGGCCCGCTCGTAGGACAGACGGTCCTCACAGGTCTGGGAAAGGGGGGAGGGAGGGGAAGAAGCTAAAGAAGGAAGCGCCGCTGCGGGAAGACACAAAAGCTGGAGCGACTCTTCTTCCCTCACCCCCCCTTCACCCCCTGCTTCCGCCCCCCCCTTGCAGCTCAAGCTTTGAAAGCTGATCTCCCTTCTGAATGGAAACTCTGAACTGCCAGGCACCGTTGTCCTTGCCTCGCCTCCAGATCCATGCCGAGAAGAAGGCTCAGCGATCTGCCCGCGCCAGGCTGCCCCTGCAGGGGCTGAGATGCTGCTGAAGGCAACTTGACATCCTCCGTCCGCGCCCGTAGTGGGAGCGATGCTGCAAAGCACAGCACTCGCTCGCTCAGCTCTCCTTCAAGCTGAAGGTTACCAGCCGCCCCGGCCGTCGCCGCTGCTGTGAGCGCCCAAGGAGAGGGACTCTGGCCGCCTCCTTGGCCGTGGTCCTCGGCGCGGTGGGGAAATAGCTCTGGCCGCGCCTGCTGCGGATCCGGGCAGCCCAGCCGCAGCTTCGGCTTGGTGGATGTGTCTGCATGAGTTCTGCACCGAATGGGCGCAAAAAGCGCCCCGGCCGCTCCACTCGCTCTTCGATCTTTCAGATCAGCAAGCCGACGCTGCCGAGCGGGGACTGTGAGCGCAGCGCAGGGGCAGCGGCTCCGAGGGCGCCCACAAGACCCAGAGAGCCCTGGACGACTGCAAGATGGTGGGTAAAAACAAAAGCAGGTTTTTTTTAAAGGGGGGGTTGGGGAGTCATGTATTTTGATCGTTTGCTTTAGTGCCACTCCCCCTCGGTTTGTCTATTCTGATCACGTGCAGTTGCACTATTTTTAAAACTGCAGTTCCCCCCCTTTCCCCCCAGTCCCCTCGCTCCAATTCGGGTTGACACCCAAGTCATCTTGGTTCAAAGGGGAAAGTGTTAGGACACTGCTACTGGGTCCTAGGGAAAATGAGGGGGCCACTAATCGCCCGGCGGTTTGTAGTTTCTCTTCCTCCTGAGAATGGTGGCTACAAAGGAGACGGTGAATTGGATCTCTGAAAGGGGAAAGGAGATTAAAAAAAGGAGGGGGGGAGGAAGGGAGGAGGAGGGAAAAAAACCCAAACAGATAACAGTGTGCTTACTGCAGAAAGCAGACTGGTTCCAGTGCAGTGAATGTAATGATTTTCCGCTTGTGATGCCCCCAAACCATCCAGCCTTTGGGAAGCTGGAATCCTTCAGTGGTGGGCCTGGCTGAAGAAGGGTAAGCAGCTTGGCGGTCAACCACTTGACAAAGTGTTTTCTAAAAAAAGACAAGACGAGAGTGACCCTCTTGTTGTAATCTCTGAGCAACTTGAGAGATTTCCAACCTTGATCCAATAAGAGTGGTGAGAGCATCCGGGTGGAAATCATTACGATCTGGTTTGGAAGGTGGACCTTTGAAGAGGGCCAAATTAGGACTAACAATGTTTATCTAAAAGGTTGTGAGCAGTTCATTATCTAAAATGTTTAGGTGTCTGAAAAATTCATTTTCTGCCTAATTTCTTGAGTGGGTCAGCTGGAAGGCAGGCCTCTGTTCACATGTGTTGGAGTATGAAACTTCCTGCCTATTTTATTGTGTTTCATGAAAGTAACTCATCTTTCTTCCAGCTTGTCCAAGAATTCAATACCCAAGTGGCCCTGTATCGAGAGTTAGTCATTTCTATTGGGGATGTCTCAGTCAACTGTCCATCTCTAAGGGCAGAAATGCACAAGACCCGAACCAAAGGCTGTGAGATGGCCCGGCAGGCCCATCAAAAACTTGCTGCAATCTCAGGGTAGGACACCTTTTAATATTTTATTATCTGTGTGTAAATGAGACATGAATGCTTAGGGTACTGCATGGGCATTGACTTGTCCACTCATCTCTGCACACTTCTGGAGGGGGTATCCTGAGATTTGGAGGTCTTCCAAGTAAGAAGAGACCATGTTCTAACCGTAGTCTGAAGACTGTTGCTCCTACATGCATATTTTAGGAAAGAGAAGGAGGTAGTTAAGTGGCTCTTTCTAAAATCCTGGCTAAAAACTGGAAGAGAAATTTCTTCCTGATCAAGTGTCAATTGGCTTGTAAGATAAAAAAGATAAAAAACAAATATGGAAATGAGGGGAGAATGAAAGCTTTTTTGTTGTTCTTGTTGAATGGCTGGGCATCAGAATGGATTCTGGAGGCTGATTTTATCATCTTCTCAGAACGCAAAAAGAGAAACAGGCCTTTGCAGTAGGAAAGGAAATCTCTACTAAGTCTCAGAATTACTTAAACTCAGAATTACTAAACAACTCGAAAAATGCCACTTAGATGAATTTCTGTGGCTCACGTAGAAAGAAGACTCTTAAGATAAACTGTCCGAGATATGAATTGTTCATTTTAGTATAGGAATAGGCAAAGAAAGTTAAAATATGAAAAGTGACTTTAAAAAAAAATTATTAATTTATTTTTTGTTGTCAGCATTCATTCATTCAGTATTTATAAGATTTTGAGTTCTAAATTTTGCCCTCTCCTGCCCTTCTCCCCTCCCAAAGAGGGTATGCAATCTCATAGAGGCTATTCATTGAAAAGTGACTTTTTAAAGTTTGGGGAAACATTAATCAAATTCAAATTAACCTTTTTTCCTATTTTTCTTCTCACACTGATTGTTTGCCAAGCTGATTTATTTGATACTACAAGCGATCCTTGATTATGCCTGGTTTAGCATCTTCCTCATTCAGATTATACCTCTACTTTATGAGGTGCCATGGTCAAAAATGGCACCTGGTGGCCATCATTCTAGTAAACTTAGTGGGAAAGGTCCTTAGATAAAAGATGTACATCCTATGGCTGGACTCAGGCTGGACTCAGACTTTGCATATGGATAAAACCTGCCAAAATTTATCCTTATAACCTTTTAAATGGCCAAATGTAAACTCCATGTCACAGTGAAGTATTGAAGTAGGACTTCAGTAAAAGATTTACTTTAATGAAAACTTTTCCCCTTGGCTCCCTATCTGCTGTGTGGATTCCTCAGTAAGGGAATATCACTAAAATACTGACTTGACATGATATTCACATTGATAATTTTCTAAAAGATGAATTCCAGCTATGATTTAATGAGAGAAATGGAAAATCAATTGAACTCACCAATATATGCTGCAGATTGAATAGCTATGGTGGATCTATCTCATTTGCTCTTCCCAAATTCTTCTTGCTATGATCTTTAATGTCAATTTCATCTTTGCAGCTTTTAATGTGCCCCTTTCTCTCCTCTGACACTGCCACGATTCTAGTGCAGGCCCTCATCACCTCATTCCTGGACTATTGTAATAGGCTGCCGTTGAGCCTGCATCAAGTCTCTCCTCTATTCAACCACTAAAGTGATTTTCCTAAATCAAAAGTCTGAATATGTAACACTGCCCCCCCCAATAAATTCCAGTGACTCCTCTTGACTGTAGGATCAAATACAAAGCCCTTCGTAACCCAAGACCGGCCCCCATCATTCTCTGGCTCCAGTGTTTTTACACCTTACATGTACTCTTCAATCTAGTGACATTGATCTCCTTGCTGTTTCACCAAGTCACTCCATCTGTTGGCTCCAGGCATTCTTTCTGGTTGTTCCCCCATGTTTGCAATGTCCGCTTTCCTCCTCTCTCACTACACACCTCCCTAGCTTCCTTTTAAGTCACAACTAAAATCCTATCTTCTTCAAGAAGTTTTCCCCAACCCCTTTTAAGGAATTAATGAATTAATTCCCTCAATTAATTGTTTCCTATTTATCTTGTATATAACTCCCTTTGTTTGTATATTATCTCCTCCATTAGATTGTAAATTCCTTGAGGGCAGGGGCTATCTTTTGTCTCTGCAGGTATTCCCAAGCACTTGGCACAGTGCCTGGCCTATAGTAAGTACTTAAATTGTTTAGTGATTGATTGATTTAATTCCAGTACACCAAATAGTAGTTATTAGTATGTAAAGATTAGAAACTGCTATATGTTACTTGTCAGGATAATTAATTTATTTGTGACAAAATGTATTTCAATACATATGATAATGACACCTTGTGTGACTATCAAGTTGAGAGATTAACAGTGAGCTCTAGGCTTGTTTTCACTAGCAATGATATCTGGTGGTCTTTTAGTGTACTCAGGAAGCAGCTCTGGGAGTGTCACTGACAGTGGAGGAGAAGGGGAATTAAATGCCTAGAAAGCACAGGGAAGGAAGGTGGTACCCAATAAGACCCCTAACTGAGAAGTAGAAAAAGCAAGGAGATGAAAGTAGGTTGAGAAACTATGAATTTGAAGGAAAAGTAGGATATAGAAAAGCAACCTGGGGCCAGCAACATATGTATGATAGGAAGCAGAGTTATCATTCATAAAAGTAGGACTCAGGCTCTGACAACCAGGCAAGTAAAAGCAGAAAAATAAGGTATATAAGGGCTTTGCATTCTGGGGTAGAAAGGGATTCTGCAGTCTGGAGACAGAAGCTACAGGGACCCAAGCCCTATGTTTCCAAAGAATATTGGTAGAGGAGATTCCTTGCTGGGAGCTTCCTATACTGATGGAATCACAGGTCCAGTTCAAAAAAAAAAATCACCCTTTGTAATTCAGAGCCAGAGAATTGCACCCTAGGGTCTCATAATCTCTTTGTGGTTCAGCAGTTGAAGGAGCAACACCAGAATCCAGACACACGCTCTACACTGTTGATCGAGATTTAGGACTGAAGTGAATCAGAGAGAGCGAGTAAGACAGCAGGACAGAAAACTTAAATCGGTCAATTTTGTAATGTATTCACAACTCAATAACACACAAGTTTGATCAGTTGGACTCTGATAGCTCTAATTCTCCTAAGGACTTCATTTATTTATGCTGTCTTGGCTAATTACTACATTAACTGAGGGTTGGTCATGTGGGTGGTCCATATTCTTTTCAGGACTCATAGAATCATGTATGGAAAAATCTTTTGAGTTCTCCAAAGAAAAACCATTGACAAGGGTCGGGTTTTGCACGATCTTGGCTCTTTAAAATAAGAATAATTATTTCTTAAGTTTAACCTTGTTTATTAAAGAAAGGTAAGGAATTTCATTTTGGCATTTTTCTTAAAAATCATCTGCATGTCATTAATGTAACCTGTCATCTCCCTCCCCACTCCATCCCATCCCCAACACACAGTAGAATTCTGCTGGTATTGTTCATATGTGAGCCCTTCTTCCAAACTCAAAGTATCATTGGCAAGTGGGTCTGTAGGAGATACTTTACAATTTGGATCAGAAAGATTAAAGAATGGAAAAGACTTGGCAGAGAAGTGAAAAAGAGAACAAGTGAGGGAAGGAGAAAGAACAAGACTGGAATAAAGGCATTATTTGAAGCACTGGGATGAAGGAACTCTGCATCTTCTCATCTCTGATTAACCTAAACCACTTCCTCTCTCCAACCCATTCATTGGTTGTGGGACTATCAGAGATGAAGTTTGAGGGTAGGAGAAGGGACAGGGAAAGGACAAAAATAGGGAGATTAAGAAGAACGAGAAGTAAAGAATAGGACAGGATGGGCAGAGTGGGCCAGCATTATTTGCAGAAATAAAAGAGTCTGGATAGTGGAAGAAGCACTGAAATGAGGATCAGGAGGCCTGAGTTCTAGCCAGAGTATGCCGCCAGTAGTTTGTTTTGTGAACTTGGCCTCAGTGGATCTTGGTTTTCATATCTGTAAAATGAGGAAGTTGGCCTTGGTAACCTCTCTTGTAGCTATGAATCAAAGTAAACAAACGCACTACAGTGAATAAAGAGAAGGTGACCAGAAAAGGAGGAAAATATTTACATCATGTACAGGAAATGCCACCTATTTGCTCTTGGTATAATTTGTAAAATAAGGTTATGTACTCAAGCCACTGTGAGTTTTTATTTACAAGTATGGGGGGAAAACCCCAAACCCTGAAACTTCTTTTTCTGATCTTGTTTACATGAACTCAAGCTCAGGAGTTCAGGCAGGGGATACTGCAAGAAGATCTGGCTTATTCATTGAATAGGGCCAGCTCTGAATCATAGTCACAACCCTCACCCAACTAGATTGGCCTAACTCATTTCTTAATGCTCTCCAGTTTGACCTGTTCTTGAATAAAAAGGGACGAGTAAGATGGTGTCTGTGGGAAGTCAGTTCATTTGTCAACAAGCATAGTGCCTACTATGTGCAGGTGCAATGCTAAGTGCAGGGGTTATTTTAAAAAAATGGCAAAAGATAGTCCCTGTTCTCAAGTAGCTCACAGGCTGTTGGTAGGACTCTCCTAGGAAACTATTATCCTTCCATTAGGTATGAAACCATGTAAACTAGAAGCTTGTGAGCTGTTGACTCTACCATGCCTCTGCAATTTGTGATGGGTATGAGCCACACCCAATGGACCCCAACAGCTGTCTTCTGCCATCACATTGCAGCGGTATCTGTAGACCTTCAGTAGGAGGTGGGAAGCACTTGCTTGGAGCTAGGATCATAGGATTTTAATATTGGAAGGGATATTATTGGTCACCTAGGAAAACCCACTCATTCTACAGATGTAAATTAAGATCTTTAGGAGGAGAAGTGACTTGTCAAAGTCACATGCATGTTAAGTGGTAAATGTGAGCTCCAAACCCAAATCTACCCCAATTCTAAGTACTTTACTACTGTGGCTCAGACATAACAAATGAGGAAGCCAGATTAGTTAGAAGACTATTTTTTAAGCTCATAGGTTCATCTAAGAGAGGTCATCTAGTCCAGTCCCCTTATTTTATAGATGAGGAAACTGAATCCCAGACAGTCTAAGCCACTGAACCCAGGTGAAACAGCTAATAAATGGCAGAGGTGAGATTTGAACCCAGGGCCTCTAACTCCAGGTCCGGCATATTCCCCACTGTACCACAATGCCTCTCATCATCCAAAAGAGAAGGCACATTAAACAAATATTTTGTCAGCCTCACAGAGTGCCTTTCCTGTAACAGGAGCTCAGTATTTGCTGAATGAGCAAATAAATGAATTGAACCCTTGCTTATGACTGATCTGTTTTCTTCTTCAGGGATGGTTCTAGGGAAGGTTCTACTGGGAAGTTCCCTGATTGGCTGTCAGTGATAGTAGAGCCATAACTGTTGCTCAGACCTCTCTATTCTGGATAGTGGTGGGGCAGCAGATTGGACCGCATTCATATCTACCTCTGCATTTGGTAGCAATGATGATGGCTCAGTTTGCTTTTTTAAAAAAAATCTTCAGGTTGGACAGGCCTCAGGTGAACAGTGACAGTTTGTACTGCTCCTTTGGAATTTGTGGTCAAGACATTTACTGTGTCTCCTTTTTATTTCTGTTTTCCCTTGGCCTGGTTAAAGTTATCTATTTTGCCCTTCCTTTAACACCTTAAAAACAACGAAAGTGAGAGAGTAGGGAGTCCTGTCTGGTTATTTCTGTGTTTTTTGGGGGGGGTGTTAGGCGAGTTTGGATAAACAGTATATGGTAGTGCATTTGGAAACATTTACTTTGTATAGATTCATCCTAGAATCTTTTCAGAGATTATGTGAAATTCACATGATTTTTTGTGGGTAACTCATTGACAGTGATATGTAGAACCATTTGAACATAGTTTAATGAATTGAGGAAAATTTAATTGTATATCAAACAGTGAAGGGTGAGAGGTATGAAAAATAAACATAGAACATATAGTACAATGATAAAATGCCAGTAAGAATCTGTGAGTTGAAAATTCTAAGATCACAAGAATAATCAGATTCCTGTGATAGCTCATGATAATGATATTACAATTAATAATAATAACAATAACAATAGCAGACATTTCTTTAGTACTTTAAGGTTTGGAACACACTTTACATATGTGATTTCATTTAATCCTCCGAACCCTGTGAGGTAGGTGCTATTATTATCTTCATTTTATAAATGAGGAAATAGGGGCTTAAAGAGCTTAAATGACTTTCCCAATTACACAAGTTTGATGATCATAGAAACAATCATTTGACTTTAAAAAATATCCCTAGCCAAGCATACTCTTTCATCTAGGGCACTACCTCTTGTGCACATTTTTTTTAAAATCATCCTCTACTATATTAGGTGTTTGGGGAATTTGGAGCCTATCTTCTGCTGGTCAGAGACAACTCTCCTCCCCTATTTATTTAGCAGATGGTATAAGGGTTAATTGAGGACAGTTATTTTCTTCTGTTTTTTGTTGTTGTTCAGTTGTTCTTCAGTCATGTTTGACTCTTTGTGACCCCATTTGGGATTTTGTTAGCAAAGATCCTGGAATGATTTGCCATTTCCTTCTCCAGATCATTTTATAGATGAGGAAACTGAAACAAGCAGAGTTAAGTGACTTGTCCAGAGTCACATAGCTAGTAAGTGTCTCAGGCTAGATTCGAACTCAGGAAGAGGAGTCTTCCTGACTCCAAGCCCAGCACTGTATCCACTGTGCTACTTAGCTGCCCATCTTCTGTTTAGCAGAGCCAATAATTGTGGCTCAGGCTTATATTTTTGATGGTGTTGGGACAGCTGATTGGACCACATCTACATCCATATCCATATTCAATGTCTGCTATTTCCTAACCAATCTTACCATATATTTGGTATCTAAATCCTAAATCCCACCTGGCCTTCAAGAACTAGCTCAGATGTCATGTACTCTGGGAAGTCTTCCCTTTTCCCTTTGGTGAGAAGTGACTTTTTTCTCTACCTCTCATTGTACATTCACATTATATTTTATAGTTATCCTTCATAACTTATGCTTAAATTATGCTGTGTAAGAGCAAAGACATTAAGATATAGTCAGTGGTATGCTGGTAGGTAAGTGTTTAATAATCTTAACAAAAATGCATATATGCAGACTTATTATAAATATTAATGATCTAAAGGATGTATAGCCCACAATTTGTTAATAACAATAAAATATACAAGAGTTTTAAATTCCATATAGTCAATTGGTTCTCATAGAATGCTTTTATTGATTTTTTTTTTTGCAAAACTCCTGTATCTGTGATGACCTACGGTTGCCCTTCAACCATGAGTTGCATCCCAATCTATTAACTCTCTCCCTGCAAAAAATTGTCATTCAATCTGATGCGATCTACTGTTAAACAATTTCTCATCCTTGCATAAATTCTGTTCATTATACTTTTTCAGCTTCAACACTAGATGTAGTAGATCAAGTACTAGGGCTATAATCAGGAGACCTGGGTTCAAATCCCTGTTCATACATTTATTATCTCTGTAACTATGGACAAATCTCTGATTCTCAGATTCCTCACCTTGTAGGTGAGTATAATAAAAATTGTATTTCCTACCTTGCAGAGTTGTTGTGAGGAAAGTTCTTTGTAAACTTTAAAATGCCAGATAAATATGTTATAATTTTTTTTAAATTTTGCCCAGTAACTCTCATATACCAGGCCTTCAATAAATATCTGATTATACATTGGCTGCCCAAATGAATAAATGATATTCACTCTAAAACATGTGCTTTGAGTTTTTTTCTCCCAGAGCAATAGTATGTTTGTACTGAACCATTCCATTCAGTTAAATAAGCATTTATTAAGCGCCTATTGGATTCAAGACACTGCATTAAGTGCTAGGGATTCAGAAACAGAAATAAAAACAGTGCCATTCATAAGTAGCAAATTCTACTGGCGAGAAACAGTGTGGACACAGATAAATAATGACAAAATAATTTGAAGAGGGAGAGAGGACTCATAGCCAGGGAGAGAAGAAAGGTTTGATAGAAAAGGCAGATGGCACCAGAGCACAGCCTTGAAGAAAGTTGAAGATTCTAAGAGACACAGGTAAAGAAGATGTGCATTGCAGGCATGAGGGACAGCAAGAGATGGAATTTCAAGTTTGAGGAACTAGTCAAACAGACTACTTTGGCTGTATACAGCCCATAGAGGAGTAATGTGAAAAAAATTGAAAAGATAGTCTGGAGTCAGAATTTTAAAAATTTTAAATACTATTGCAGGGGAGTTTACCTTTTGTCCCACAGGTAATGGGGAACCCCTGAAGATTCTTGAGCAGGGAAGACTCATGGTCAGACCTGTACTTTAGGAAGAATATTTGGCAATTGTGAGTGTACTGAAGAGGGAAGCAACTGGAAGTGGGGATGCCAATTAGGAGGCTGTTTCAAGAGTATAGATGAGAGGTGATAAAGGCTTTCACTATGGTGATGGCTGTGTAAATGGAGAGAAATGGATGTGTATAAGAGAAGCAGAGGTAGAATAGACAAGATTTTGGTGAGTAATTGGATGTGGGGGAGGGGAAGAATGAAGAGTCAAGGATGGATAGCTAGCCTCTCTTTTTTCTTTTTTTTTTTTCCTATTTGTCAAATCTTTATTGGGTAAGTAGGGAAGGTTGGCAGGGTCCAGCTTAGTCCTTCTTGGCAGCAGCCTTCCTCATGGAAGCTAGGATGTTGCTGAGCTCCTCTGTCTTCCTCTTGGCCCTGATGTGAGTTCCCACCCTTTTTTTTTGATGAACTTAGGGGGCTCACTTATCCTTGGAGACCTTTAGTAATTCCCTCTCATAAGGAACAAATCCACACCCCTTCCAGATCATATCTCTCACAAACTTGGTGTGTTTGGTCAAGCGCCCACGGCAGCGGCAGTGTCGCACCTTCAAAATGTTTTTGGTAACTTTGTGGCTGTTGTTGAGGTCTACAGACATGGGGTATCGGATAGCCATGGCTGCAGCGCTATTGTAGCCCCAATGGCAGCAATAGCAGGAGGAAGGAGAGAACTTGAACTCTGGGATTTCTAGCCTCCACTTCCTGGTCTTCCCCTAGCCTCTCTTCTTCAACAGGAGCCCCTGCATAACAATAATACAAAATGACTGGCTCATGTTAAGGGGTATAGAAAGTGGCCATAGAGCACAGTTTTGTTTTTTCCTTTTCTTTGCTAAACCAACTCACTCATGGATTATATGACATGCCACAATGCAAATAAGCTAAATAGTAACTTAATTAGGAACAGAAATTCAGCTCCACTAGAGACTTCCATTCTGAAGGAATTCACGTTGATGTGGAGGTAAGAATTCAGCAGATGGAATCAGTAGCATGGATGTGACTGTGTTGTTTGATGGCTCGTAACCATATACTGCAGCTGGAGGCGGGGAGTGCCTCAAACTAGGTTCAAAGATGAACGAATCTTTAGTATCTAAATAGGGCCAGATGTGATAGGGAATCTGTAGTATGCCATAACATTGCCTACTGAAGCATTATCCTTTTCTTTTCTGAACAGATCTAATTATTATAACCTTGTTAGACCTTTTTATTTTTTAATAGATGTTTCATTTATAGAGGACATTATAGCTAAAATGAATTGTAGGGAAAGTCATTGTCCCTCACTTATTCATTTATTCCAGTTGTTTATAAGAAATAATGCCTTTCCACAGACTTTGGTAAGAAATGAAATTAGTTTAAATTTGATGGAATCTCTGTTGCATTTTGGTTGTTAATTTTTCTGGTTTGAAATTCTAAGTGCACTGTTTCTTTTTGAGTAATAGAGAGTTTGAGGAAAATGTCCAAGGCATGAAGTCCCATTATCATACACAGTGTGTAGTCTTTCTTCAGAAAAAAAGAATCACATTAATATAATTTGAGAATTCTACAATTAGGGGGGACCTCAGAGATTATCTATTCTAACTACTTCCTCAAGTCTGTCTAAACCATCACTCATAAATGGTAAGTTTTTGTTTTTCCATGGTGCATAACAGATAGTAGATACATAATAAATAGTTGTTGATTAACTGATTGATTGGTCGTCTAGCTTCTGCTATAATAGCTCCATCAGCAGGGGAACTTACTATCTACAAAGAGAGCTACTCCATAATTGGACAGCTCAGATTGTTAGGAAATTCTTCCTTATGTCAAGCTTAAGTTTGCCTTCTAATAACTGCCATTCGCTATCTTAATTTTCCTGTAGGCTTCACAAAATAAGTATTATCTCTTGTCTGCAGAATAACTATTCAGATGTACTACCTGTGTTCAAGGATTGCCATGAGAGAAGCACTTGAGAAACTTTCATTCATTCAACAGTCAATAAGATGCATTAGGTACCTGTTCCATGCTAGATACTGTGCTAAGTCTTGAAGATATATAGAGAAAAAAATAAACAACCCCTTTTCTCAAGGAGTTTATACTGTATTTTTAAAAGTCTATGTATTTTTATTATTAATGAAAATATTAACCATGACCCTAAAAAATGAGTGAACTTACATTGTATTCTTAAAATGCTATAAAATTGTAACCAAGATTTGATGCCAGACTCTAGTTACATAAATGTTTATGGTACAGTGGAAAGGGCTCTCTAGTCATAAATCACAGATTCAAATCCCACTTCTGATTCTTACTACCTTTAGGTTGTACTTTCCTTATCATAATGTAAGATAGATGACTAAATGACTCTTGAGGTCTCTTTATTACCCTATGGGTTGTTACTATTACTATTTGAAAATAGGAAGACCCTCATCATAGAGCATTGACCTTGGAGCCAGGAAGACCTGGCTTTAAGTCCTGCCTCTTATTCATACTGGATATGTGACGTAGGCAAGTCATTTGACCTTTTTTCAGTGCTGTAGGCCAGAGGTGTCAAAAACACTTAGCCTACAAAACTACCCCTTAAAGCCTGAACCGGGTTAAAATGGGGAAATGTTTAACAAAAAAAAAATTAATTAAAATACAATACAACATAGATAACATTAACTTGTGGGTTTCTAAGCCTCTAGATATATCCAGGTGGCTAGAGCACTAGGCTGGAGTCAGGAAGACCTGAGGTCAGCCTCAGACAGTCACTAATTGTGTGACTCCTTAATCTGTGTTTGCCTTAATCCACTGGAGAAGGAAATGGCACACTACTCCAGTATCAAATGGGGTAATGAGGAGCTGGACAGGATTGAAGCTACTGAATAACAGTAAAAATCATGTTCAAGGTATTATGCTATGAAAATACTATTGGCATCAGTGCTAATGATTAGATAAGGAAACATTTATCATTGAGTCTTGACTCCTCCCCTCCATGCTTTCTCTTCAAATTTAGCATATCTGCAAGTACAGTTAAATTTTACTCTAATAAAGTCTAACTCTGCAGAAGCAGAATTCTCCCATACCATTTATTTCATTTTTGTGTAAAATGTGTGACCCAAAGCCCTAGTAATCATCACTAGCATTTAAAAAGTGTATTTTGGTGCACAAGCCCTCACAAGAGCATGTGTGAGCACACAAGTGAAACCCAGGTGGGTGCTCTTATAGTTCTTGGAGGCAGTAGGTTCGTATTCAAGAAGTGGCTGCCTGTGCCTGTCAGCAGAAGGGCCAAAGTAGCCAACAGGAATTTCAGGTGAAGCATTAAAACCAAAATATGGTCACGATAATAACAATTTACATTTTGGTAATGTTTACAAGGTACATTCTGGGAAGTAGGTAGTTCAAGTATTGTTACCCTTGCTCTACGGTCAAGAAACTGAGGACTCAGCTGGGCCTAGATTCAGAAAGATCTGTGTTCACATACTGATTCTGACACTTGCTAGTGGTGGGACAATGAGCAAGTCATTTCACCTCTCCCATTCCATGTTGAACAGCTCTGATTATTGGGGCAATTTTTCCTTATGTTGAGCCTCAGTCTGCCTTCCAGTAACTTCCATCCCTTGAGCATAATTTTCCTCTAGAAGCCTCACAAAATAAGTCTTATCCTTTGTCCACAGAACAACCCTTCAAATGTTCTGCATGACAAGGTCACCTTGAGGAAAGTGCTTTGGAAACTTTAATTCATTCCACAATCAGTAAGATACATTAGCCTCCTGTTATATGTTAGGCACTATGCTGGCTTCTGGGAATATGGAGAAAAAGTGAAAGAAACTTTTTTCCTCAAGGAGCGTACCCGTATGACCTCCAGGTGCTCTCTAAAACTGCAAGTTATAGGTTTGTGGTAGAGGGAGTTCTGCCAATGAAATCACAGGTCCTTCACGTATTGACATAAAGCTGAGGAAACCAAGGCTGTGAGAGGTGAAGTAATGCAAACATGGTCATACTATTGTCAAATGTCTGAAATATAACTTGACTTCAAAGCCCTTGATTCCTAAAACTAACAGACTTTCCATGCCACCATATTGACAAGACAATACAACAAATAAACTGACCTTAGGATTATTTTATATTTATGTATATGTTTAATGTATATGCATATATGCACATATATACACATATATGTTGACAGATAAGAAAGCTGGAGTATTTTGTATCCTTATTTTCCCATACATCTGTCATCTATGATTGCTCCCTCTCCTTTGATACCTGTATCTAATAAGTTACCAAATCCTATAGATTCCACAATCAATCAAGCAATAACTATTTAGTTATATGCTGGGCACTGTGTGTGGCAATGGAGAAAACATAACTCTTTTACCCGGAACCTATCCCCCTCCTATTTCTGTTGAAGATTCCTTTTTCCTTCCAGTCACCTGGGTTCTCAACCTCAGACCCATCTTCAACTCTTCACTCTTTCTTCATCCCCTTTATCCAGTCAGTGGATTGGTAGCCATTCTACTTCCACAGCATCTCTCTCATACATCTCTCCACTCACCCTAGTTCAGGCCCTCATCACATCAAATAGCCCTTGCTTTGGTGGAAAAAGGCGGTAGGAAAAGAGAACTGGAAATGTTTTTCTTTCAATTAACAAAGGATAAGAAAGCCTCTCCTGATATTTTTATTCTGGGACCAGAATTTTATTCTGGGACTAGTGGCTTATGAATTCAAAATGTCTCACATCTATGCCTTCCTTTCTTTTCCTATTGCCACTAAACTCCTATGGTTTCTTATCATGTCATGCTTCAATTACATTACGATTGCTAATTCCCTTGCATACACTCCTCTCCAATATACTACTGTACATTCCCACTAGATTCACCTTGCTGAAGTCCTATTGCTTACTCTGCCTAGCTTACACTCACAATGATCAAATCCACCATCACTAATTTTCCTTCTTCCTGGAATCTCCAGCTTTCAGGGCCTGGATGCTCTGGGGTGAGAGTGAGGTGTAAGGGGATGCTGTTTCTTAAATCCTGAAAAGCTTTAAATCCTCCATGCCGGAGGCTCCAAGCTCTAGGTTTTGGTTTTCTCTGCCTTTTATTCCTTGGATGATGAATCATTCCAAACTGACTCTTGGACAGAAACATATTCCATTCAAACCTTTCTCTTATAACGATCTATGCAGAGAGCTGCGGGCAAATCTGTACACTGTGTGAGAAGTTAATTTCTTTCCCTTCCCCAAGTGATGATTCCTAATAAGTGGGTCATTTTACATTTTCATTCTCGATCTCCCTATTTGCATTGCTGTTATCCTCTTAGCCTGCAAATTCCCATTTGTCCCAGTATTAAAGAACAAAGTATTTCCTCATCCAAACTATTTTAGACATAAGAAAAACCCAAGAAGAAAAAAAGAGAATCTTATACTTAAAATATAAACATGTCATACTGTTTTTCATGGCCTCATTACAATAGGTTGACTCCTTTGGGAGTAAAATGACAAGAAGCGCATTTAGGCTTAATTGTTAGAGGTTTTATACCCACAAGTAAAGACTAAAGACAGAAATATTGAGATGGGTATGAATAAGACACAGCTAAATTGACAGTCAACCTAACCATTTCCAGGACTGTTCTGTTGTTTTGGCTTTTAAGTGATAATTTATTTCCC